TCAAAGTTGTGTAGATAGGGAAGACTTGTGGACACAGAAACGACGTGTGTGGACGCAAATCCTTTCTGGTCCAATGATACGGTGATACGCTGATTGTTTCAGTGTAAACGTAATCTTTAAACTCCATACACCTTCACTAGAATCATTTGGATGATTTCATCCCTGGAATTGCCAGACTCTTCTGAACAAAAGGTAAAAGGCAGCGGTTAACTTGAAAACTACCACTACATGACATCACAATTTGGAACAGAGCCTTTTTGAGCTTTGGAGATGTAGACAAACTAACAAGAAAGGTTTTCAAACATGCGTGAATGAAACAAAACACAACTTGAGATATGTTTTTGAGGAGGTAACAACATTATTAACATGATTAAAACCACACACGAGTCAATTCTGTGTGATACAGAACCTTTAATGCAATACTGTGGGACATTCCAGGTGATGCAATATAATCTCCACGGAGGTAAGCAGATGGCTGACTATAAGGTTACATAGTGAGCCTTTAATAAAGCAGCTAAGTAGCGTTAAAATATAAGAGCAATGATTTTTTGACCATATTTTTATGGAGGTATTTTCATTGTGAATTAAGTATAGGCCCAGTCTCCAAGCACTGCCAACAGAATAAACATGAATTATTAAAAAGAAGCTACTATGAAATATGTAGTGAGTAGTGCTCATGTTCTGGCAGTAGGGAAATCCATGTAGGAAGATTGATTGACATAGAAGCCCTTGAGGTTTTTTTTTAAAATCCAAATCTACATAAATCAATTGTCAGTGGTACAGTGGTGCAGGCATTCAGTTCATAATAAACGCTGTATTATTTAACATTGCTGTGCAGTTACACAAACAATACCATCCAATAAGAGTCTTGTTTTGCTTTAAAGCTTACAAGCTGTTATTATATTCTGCAGAGTGCATTTTTTAAATGCCAGATTTTTATTTATTTTTTAAATATTTGTTCATCCTAATTACAAGAGAAACAGAGACAGTTGTCTTCTGTCTTACATTGTGTTCTCAAAGCAAATGTTTTCTTGTTTCCATGGAAATGTTATTACTTTGCCTGGAATGTTCCAAAGTATGGCAAAAGAGTCAAAAGAGTTCAGAAGAGTTTGTCTGATGCCATCAGACTATGTAACACAAGACTAGAAGTGTGCAAAAATATCAAAATATCATATCGTTTAATGTGCTAATACAGTATCGATATTATGGGCTGCTGTATTGATATATTGTCAAGACTATTTTTTAGGTATATTTTACTAAATTAATTTCTGTAAGAGCTACAATTGTGTTGACATTTTCACAGTTTTGAGTAAAATTTGTGTTTTTCTTATTAACTTTGCACAAACTTAGTGCCATGATTTAGCCTTTGTTTTTCACTGAACTGTATTGAATCGTAAAATATATCGTATCGAATCGTATTGAATTGAAAGCTCACTGTATCGAGAAGCGTATTGTACCATAGTCTATATATATATATACATATCGAGGTATGTACTGTATCGGAAAATTCTTATTGATACCCGGCCCTACACAAAAGTTACAAAGTGCTGCTTTAAAAGATTAAAAGAATATCACAAAAAAGTATTATATATGATCACTGTAATCTGTTAAGTATATTTATTTAATTTTTTTTAAATATAGTGAGTGTAGAACAGCTGGATATATAGTTATTTTGGATACATTTATGTTTTTTGTCAGAAAATAACAGAGATATTAACACAAAGAAACTCAGAAGGCAGAATTCAGTTTTTTTACTCGTGGCGAGGGACAGAGGCGCTGCTACAGCTCTTAACTGCCGAAGAGCCACCGTCCAACGTCACGTATTTATTGAATCACACAGGTTACAAGAATAAATGGGTGGTTAAATTTTTCTATCACAGTAAAAAAACACAGAGAATAAAAGTGTGTATTGTGTGTGTGCCAGCTGCTGAGGTGTAGGAAGGGATGTGTGTTGGGAGGACTGTCCTTGCGGAAGATAATGGATAATGAGAAGTTGGTTTTCCCGTGAGAAATACACTTTGAGAAATACCCTTTAATAAAATAAGACAAAGAATCGTCTATACAGCATTTGAAAAACTCTTTAACATTTTTCTATGCCTTATATATGTTCAAAATATATTTTATACATCGCAAAACTGCTCTAAGCTCTAAGGTGCATATTTGTAACTGATAAAGTTTTCCATAAATTATCAATAACAAAGTGTTTTTTTGTTTGTTTGTTTTTTTTAGAGCAAAATGCTGAATAAATGCATTGTGTAACAAAAAAAGAATCGTTTGCATAATCGTGATTTCAGTATTGACCAAAATAATTGTGATAATGATTTTTTCCATATTCGAGCTGTCTTGGTTTAATGTTAAGTGTCTGAAAAATCTAAAATCTACTGAAATGTATTTTTACATGTGGTTTCATTAAAAGTGAAATATAAACTAGGGATTCGGATACTATTTTGTTCCTCAAAGACATTAAAGGTGCACTGCGTATCTCCATGGAATGTTCCACAGTTTAGGTTAAATCGATCTATCAAGCGGGTCACAGCACTATGCTACATTACAGGGCAGATCTGTGGAGAGTCGCCACTATTCACAGAAGGAATTATTGTACTTTGACCAATAGAAACACCCATAGCAAATAAATAGATGGATATACTTAATGTCATACCATGGAACATTCCAGACAAAGCAATAACATCTCCATGGAGACAAGCAGGTAGGGGACCCTCCACTAAAAAAGTTGCACAATGCACCTGTCACTGAGATGACATGAACTGAGAATAGGCCTTCAATATTATCAGTTTACCTTCTGTGCATCTGCAAAATATGATCCGGTAGAGATCACAGCATGCTGGATATTGTTGTTTTTACAAGTTCAGACCAAAACAGGAAGTGAGTCGTTAAACGTGAGAGGAGAAGAGGACACAGTATCAAAGGTAGATAAGGTTCCAGCCAAGCATGTTTTTATTAGTAGCCACCGCCCATTGCACACAATACGGACACAACACGGCGACAATGTGTGAAAAGAAAATATCTCTGAAAATATTAGAGCCCTTAGGTAAAACTATCACTGAGTCACTCCTATAATGTCCAACATGATATCTGTATTCTCTCTGGGTGACGCAGATGGGAGCTGGTTTCAGGGATGGCTGCAATTCAAACTGTGAAATACATTGGAGACAAAAGTAGCACCTGGAGATGTGAAGTGCACTTTTATGTAATTTTGTATAATGAGGCCGCTATGATACTTTGCAGTGGCATTATGCTGGGGACGTACTGCATGTACGTCTATGGAGGAATGTTTATCAGTTACCATGGAGACACAATGCACACATAAGCAACACAGACTGATATGTTTAGCCTGATTCATCAGCTGGTTTCACTTTGTGGAAACGGTCTGACCTTGCAGCATTAGGATTTGTTTGTTCGAAGGTAGGCAGGTACTTTTTTTATTTAACCAATCACTGTTATTTGGTCGTGATGTATGTAATGTGCCAAATCCCGTAGGAAGAAGGGCAATAATGTTTTTCCCCTTGATAAAATTCACCGAACATTCTCTTTGTTCCGGCTTCGTCTACATCCATCTCGACCGCTTTCTTTACTGTTGTGCTGTACCGCAAAAGGGACCCAGACAGGCGCTTGAGTTTGACGTCATGGCTTCACAGCTCACAGCTGATTGGCCAGTGCGCGGTCTACAACTTCCGGGGTTCTTGCAAACCGTCTAGTGTATTCCCATTCCTGACTTAGTCGCTGGAGAGAAATGAAATTGAGCAGAGGCATTGGGTAGCGGCAGCCTGGCTATGATATGTTGGCCTGAAAACTCAATAAAAAAATAGATTTAAACTAATTTTCAGGAACATGTGATCAGTACCAACGTTCATGGTCCCCTTAAGGTTTTCAACAAAAATGGTGAGAATGATTAATTGAAAAACAGTTGGCAAATGCCAGCTAGCTTGTGACTAATTTAAGTTCTTTATGGTTAGATTGTGTTAAAACAAAGCTCAGATTAAAGCCTCATTTGAGTGACAGAGCAGTGCCTCCAGTTAACTACACCCATCAGCTGAAAAAAGTATGTGTACATTTCTCGGTCTCATATACAGCATACAGATGTGGACTCTCATATTTGTGCATATTTTCCATGTGATGGCCACATAATTATGAACTTCCATTTGTATCTCTCTTTTTGTGTCCCTCTGCCCTTCGTGGTGTTCAAAAACAGATTCTTCACATGGGGACAAAACACAATAAAGCATTGCTGACACAGTTAGAATTATACTCAGTAAAAACAAAGTATTCTCTTAGTTTTATTGGTATAGAAAATATAAAACAATGGCTAGACTTTTAGATTCCACGTAGTTTGACACTAATGTATTTGTATATAGGCAATAATAAATTAAACTGTAACACTTAATAATGGTACTTAAGTTAATGCATTAGTTCATCACGATTCCATTAAATAGAGTGGCTACAGTGCACTATAGCTTTTCTAATAAATAAAATAACATTTAAATAATTCCTCCATTTTACTACATCTAGTCATTTATGATTCAAATACTTGAATGTTAATATATTTTTGACTATGTTAATAAATATGACAAGATGACGATCAAGTCAAAGTGCAGTATTTTTCATATGCACAGAATAATTCTGACATTTCATGAATACATATTCAGTGCCCTTTCCACACAAAACTATAAGCACATACAATCAAACAATATTTATTTATTTGCACAAATTCTATTAGTTGTTCCCACGGTAACAGCTTGTCTCCCTGGGCTAAAGTGACAAAAAGGAAATGAACTATGATAAAATCACAACTTAGCTAAGTAATAATTCATTATTTTTAATAGATATATTGTAGATAAATGACTTTATTTTAATTAATTTAAAGCAGAATTACATTTTCCTTTTATACCTACTTAACAGTACATGATAAACTGACAGATACACACTGTTAATAACATGAACATCCCTCGTAAGCACCTGAACATTGTGTCTGAGGTATAAAAATGAAGCTCCAAATGTAGAAAAAGTCTGAAATAAAAGTCATAAAGTTATTCCTGAACGCTATAATGAGAGTGGACCTGTATCTGTGTCTTTAGAGTGACCACCTGCCCCTCTTTTGGTTGTCTTGCACTGGCATTTAGGCACCGGTCCCCTGTCCCACTTAGGGAGACAGTGTCCCAATTTTTCCACATTCACTTTTTTCTTGCAAAGAAATCAAGATTTTCAGGTCAACTGGTTTCTGGGTTGTAATATGTTAGGATCTATTCTTGCTCCAGTCTCTCTCTGTGTGTTATGATTGATATATTAGTCTCTCGCAATTTTTGTGACATAAATGTGCAACTTTGCTGGTGGAGGGTCTATCACCTGCTCATCTATTAAGTCATATTAATTTAGTTATCAGTGTTTTCACTCATAATTACCTTGAAAAGCATGTATTTAATATATTATAACTTTGAGAGTGGGCTGTAATTTGACCTGATGATGTGACGACTTGTCTTTAGGGTGATGGATAAATTTAATGCCATACTGTGGAGCATTTTGATTAAGACAAGCAAATGCAGAACCTTCACCAATAAACTTACACAGTGCACCTTTACTTTGAATTTTTGTACCATTTATAATTTGTTATAATATTGAGATGTGTGAGTTACTGTGTCCAAGTAACTTCCTTTGTGGATCAGTAAAGTTCGCCTACGTTTAAGTAAAAATATAGATTTTTCTGACAATCATCGCAATTAGATTTGAGTTTTACTTTTAATTGTAGTCCCCCTAGTGGTCAGGTGTTACAGTGCATAGACTTGTCTCTAGCTGAAGACTGGGTTGTGCGCTCCGGTGAGGTTGCTAGGAGGAAGACTTTTGCGTCTGAGGAGGGTGAGGGAGAGGACGAAGAGACACGTGCTCATCACCCCCAGAATGACCACACCAGAGATCAGAGCACTGGTCACTGAGTTCACTGGAAATGTGGAGGCTTTCAGATGACCTAGAAGAACAAACAGATGAAATGTGGTGTTAAAGCTACACTGTGTAACTTTTCTGGTCTTCATAAAGGTAATACTTTGACTGGAGTGCTTTACTACAGGGCAGGGGTCTTCAACGTGTAGCAGATGAGCAAACAGCAGGTCTCTACCCCATTCCAAGTTGCTCCTCAAAGGATTTAGGACTTATAGATATTATGCTATAAATAATTTAAATTTGATTCATCACATGATTGTATCATAATGAATGTCAAGTTTTGATTGATTGATTTGATTGGGACAGCTCATGTTAATGGACTGACATGACAAAATAAACATAAATGCAACCAAAGGCTAATTTCCACCTGTTGTCCCAATACACCCCATCTAAAGTTATAGCTGTTACCTTTATATCGGCTCAATTTCATGCAGCTTCTAAAAGATGTATCTCTCTGTCATTTTTGTTTTGTAAAAGTAGCTCACTGGGGAAAAGGTTTGGAGACCCCAGCTATATGGCATTAAACATTTCAAACCTGTATTTATGTTTTTACTGCTCAAAAATCCCTTGAAATGCATCTACTATAAAAGTACAGCTAAAGCAGATTCCTACTCCACAAGAATGAAGTATGAATTGTTTTTTGCTGTGAGCGGGATTGTATCTTCATAGATATGACCTGTAACTTGCTTGTCTCCATGGAAACTTTGGGCCTGTATCTTCATCCTAGGTCTCCAATAAATTGTGTGTGCATTTTAGTTAAACTTGTACCAATAGTTAATCAAAAATAAAAGTACAGTGTCCTTTATCTTCTGTCTATTTTGCACTGATGGATGTGCGTGGTTGTCCAGCGTTGACTCATGCACTCCAACCATGTCCTCTGTACATAAACACATGTCTGTATACAGTTTCCTTTAACAGTTCGTTTTTTCTTATTCTAGCCCTGAATTACCCAACTTTCAATGCCGCAGTGAGAAATTTCCTGCCCATCTACAATGACATTTGATAGCTCTGAACGATTGAGAGTGTGAACAGCGGGAGTCAAACTGCTATGACATTCAAAATCAATGGGAGTAAGAAATCCATCTGGTGAAAAAGCACACACTCTATTTCCTGACCTGATATTTAAGTCAAATAAACCAGAATAGGCTGGGAACAACTCGTGCACTTTGAGCCTTGTTTTGAAAGGATAGCTTCTCTTTGCTGCTTAATTGCTTTGAATTGCCTTCTCCCACCTGCGCTATAGCAACAATTGGAGTGGATTTTTCAATAGTCAATTTAAATAGTCTAGTCGGAAATAACCCGCCGAGGTGCAATTATAATGAATAGGAGGTCCCATTAATGCACCTGCCAGGCATAAGGCTGATAACAGGTTTTTGGAGAGTTTTAAAAGATTTACCACTTTAAATAAATTATATAATCGAATCATTAGAGGGCCTGTATCCGTTTTCTCCCTCATGTATTTGAGCAGAATGTGTCTTGCTCCAGTACAGATATATTGCATAAGTGGCACTTGAGGTAAAAATAAGGGAACTATGTACTGTCTGATCTAAATATAAAGCAAAATAGCTGCAGACCATTTAAAGAGATGTTATATATGTGTACTGTTATAGCAATAATTTGTGAAAGAAGCAGGTGGAGGGCCAACTCCAGGCAAACACGAGTCAACACTGTGAAGATACAAGCCCGCTCACATTAAGGACACATGTTTTATCTATATATATTTTTTTGTCTGCAACTAAATTTAAAGTGTTTTATTGTCAGAAAAAGTCTGCAGTTAGCATGCTAGTTGTTACATTAGAGAAATAACTCTGGAAAGCACTTAAAAACTCATCACCATGAATAATTACGAATGCATAAGTTAAAGGGACACTCCAGAATTTTGGACATAGGACCTCATTTCCTAGTGAGCCAGAGTGCTGGAGACGTGTGGAGACACTTTTTAAAATATTCCATCCAGTCCTTGTATTTGCAGAGGTCGCTGGTGCTAGGCTAGTACATGTCAATGGCCATAGTTAGCCTGACACTAAAAACAGTCTTACCCACTCCACAAAACACCTGAAGCAAATTTATTATTACACCAATCTGTTGATATAAATGTCTGTGTAAAACCAACCTTGCATTTGAAGGATTTATGTCTGAGTAGCAGCAGTGAGTTGTTCTTCCTGATAGAAAGGTTGGCAGCGGCGGACTGATATATGAGAAAATAGTCCTTCAGCATGTTCATTCATGCGATGCAAGGTTAGTTTTATTTCAAACATTATTCTATCAACACAGACATTCACATCGACATTCTGGCTTAATAATAGATTTTCATGGGTGCTTTGGGGAGAGGGTAAGACTGTTTTTAGTGGTAGGCTAACTATGGCCATTGACATGCGTTAACCTAGCACCAGCAACCTCTGCAAATACAAGGACTGGATGGACTATTTTAAAAAGTGTCTCCATGCATCTCCAACACTGTGGCTCACTAGTAAATGGGGTCCTGTGTCCAAAATTCTGGACCATCCCTTTATGCAGGCAATGACTTTAGACCACTGCAAGGGTGATAGTATGTTATATATATTTTATACTGAGCAAAAAGAACATAATTTTTGTGGAAGCAAGCACATTAAGGACACATGTTTTTCTCTATTGCTTTTTTTTTCTTTATTGCAAAAAGTTACATACTATGGCTTAAAAAACAAACCTGTTTTTCACATATAGGTCCCACTCTTTAAAGGTTAGGTATATTAGCACTACATAGTCCAGTGAGAAGTCTTACCCCATTGCGAGTTGTTAGTTGGTGTTTCTTCTGCAAAACAGCACAAAAATGACATTCAGGGACAAGTGACGTGGGTTTTGAGTAGACAGCACATGGCACAGCGGTCGGCTAATTTCTGAATCATCAACATAAATCACTAGAGTAGCTTCAGGCACTTTTCACACAAACTAGGTTGGCTTAGATAACTGTCATCTTCAGAAAGCCAGTATCATATCTCAAGTCCGTTAAGAGCTGTGGTAGGCAGAAATCAGGACACTGCTTTAAAGATGGAAGAATACAGCCCCTTTCTAAACAAAAGGACAGTACACAATGACATTAACTGAACTGGGTTATTCTGAATTAGCATCAACATAAAAGAAGAATACTTAAGTACAAAGTCTTACATAGAGGTCAGAGAAGTTTTCTAAGTTTTCGGAACAGTAAATTTCAGTAACGCTTTATAATAACCACAAGCATGAATGAAGACTTAATCCATAATGGGCAAATATTTTTAAATAATGATTCAGGCTTAATAACAACTTCCAAGGTCTTACATGATGCAAAATTTACTATTGTGAGCTTTAAGCCATCTTATAATGTTGTTTAGAGTTGTGTTTTATTTAATTCACACATGTTTGCAAATCTGGCTTGTTTGTCATACCTTTTGTTCAGGAGAAATAGGTAATTCCAGGGCAGAAAGTTTCCAAATGATTCTCATGAAGGTGTATGGAATTTAAAAACAGAATGGAGCACTTCTTGTATTATCACATGACATCACAAGGTGGAACAGGGTGTTTTCATTTTGAGAGAATAACTCAGCCGAAATATGCAGGATTTGTGTGTTAAACATGTGATGAAACAAAACACAACTCCAGGAATGTTTCTGACGAGAACACATTATAACAGATCACAGAATAGCGTAATATAGGCCCATTATATGATACCTTAACTCCTAATCTTAAATAAGTAGTGATTAGTGCTTGATAAATTATTTGTTCATTATGAATTAGCTATTTGTTGATGCTTAACTGAGGCAAATTGAGCTGTAGATATTATAAAGTGGTACTCAAATGTTTATAGTTTTTGTTTTTGCAACTAAGCAACCGACTGCAATGCAAAATGGTATTGATGTGCACTATGTAACTTCTCTGTTAGTGTTAATTTTATTACTTTGTTTGGAATGTTTCAGAGTATGGCATAAACTTGTTAATCTTGCATTTCTTCATTCCTAAGTGTTTTTACTGCTGAAAAATACATTTGAAATACATGCTTTCTTACTTCAACCAGGGTCACCTCTCCACAGATGGCTTGCTGCCTGCATGTCTCCATGGAGATAAATAAGGTAAATGCCATACTGTGGAACAAATTTGTACACCTTCTTTTAAACAGGTGTGGTACCCTTGTTCAGAAAAGTTACACATAAGCATCTCTGTTATTTTTCATGGTTTAGATTGTATATTTTAGATGATCACAATACCAAAAAATGATTTTGGGTTGAACAAGATTAAAGGTGCACTGCGTAACATTTCTAGTGGAGGGTCCGCCACCTGCTTATCTCCTTGGAAATGTTATTGCTTTGTCTAGAATGTCCCACAGTATAGATTAACAAGCAGGTTACATCACTACACTACGTTACAATTCAGATATGTGGACAGTCGTCCCTTTTCACAGAAGGAATTATTGTATTTTTGAGCAACAGAAACACCCATAATGAATAAATTCTAGATGGATATGTTGCTATGGACCATTCAAGTGATAACATCTCCATGGAGACAAGCAGGTAGCACACCCTCCACCAGAAAAATTGCACAGTGCACCTTTAAACTGCATTTTTTTCTTACATAATCATTGCCCTATATACACCACTAGTCTCATACAAATGTTCAAAAAGACTGCAATCACTACATCAGGATTTTTTACCCTTACATCTTCCCACCAACAAGGCTGAAATGAACACAACATTTACAGCAAATCATAGCTGTGAGCTTGGATGTTTTTACCTTAGAGTCTGTAGCACTGCACCGTAAGTACTATAGTTGAGAGCGAATGAAAAAGACATCTCGATACAGATGGAGAGCTATGGCAGTCGGCTGAAGCAAGGAAAATAGACTGTAAGGAGGAGTGGGAGATAGAGGATTTTTATCAAACCATACCACTCCGCGTGATGATAGGCCCAGCAGTCAGAACAGCGTTTCCAGATGCTGCGTTAGTCTCCTTCCCTTCGGAGAGATCTCGTTTTTTCCGACTGCCACAGATCTACGACAAATGGGGAAAGCAGATATGGTTAGCAGTCAAAGCAGTTCCTTCCTGTGTTCCATTTTTTGCTTGCGATAAGGTATTCACGGGCTATGTAATTTGTCTTTTTATGTGGAGGAAAATATAGTCCTCCATATTACAAAGCAGTGTGACATTTAGAAATCTGATAAAGAGCATATTGTTGGATTTAAAGTGGTAGACTGCACTGTATATATATATATATATATATATATATATATATATATATATATATATATATATATATATATATATATATATATATATATATATATATACATCATATATTAGATTTGTCTGTTTAGTTGCCAGGTTTGTAGATATATTATGTAATTTTATATTAGAGGTCCTATATTACACAAAATTGACTCTTATGAGCTGTTATCCATGTCAGAATGCTGTTACCTCATCAAAAACATACCTGGAGCTGTGTTTTGTTTCATTCACATATTCACACCCTAACCCTAATCTTTTATTATTAGTCTGTCTATATCACCAAAACTCAAAATGCTCCGTTCCACCTTGTGATGTCATGAAAAAGTATGTTAACAGCTACTTTTTACCTTTTGATCAGTCAAGATTGGCAATCCCAGGGCTGAAAGCATCCAAATGACGGAAGGTTTATGGACTTTAAAAATACAGTGGAGCTTTTCCTGTATTACCACATGACATCACATGTGATTTCCGTTTTCAGTTTGAGAGAAGAACTCAGTCTACATATGCAGGGTTTGTGTGTTAAAATGTGTGAATGAAACAAAACACAACTCTGGATTCCAAAGAAACAACATTATAACATACACTACCGGTCAAACAGTTTAGAACACCCTAATTTTTCCAGTTATTTATTGCAATTCAAGTCGTGCAAGTCCAATGAAGAGCTTGAAATGGTACAAAGGTAAGAAATGAACAGCCAGAGGTTAAAAAAAGATAAAATAACAAAACACAAAGTCCAAGCTCTGCCAAAACTACCTCAGGAAAAAAGAACAAGATGGTAAAGCTTGAAAACATGGAGTGGCCAGCACAGTCTCCAGACTTAAACTCCATTGAGCTGGTTTGGGAGGAAATGGGGTGTGAAAAGAGTGAAAGCCAAGAAACCTACAAATGCCACACATTTATGGGAACTTCTGCAACAGACTTGGGAAGAACTTTCTAAAAAATATTTGGTTTCTATTGTAGAAAGTATGCCACGAATGTGTTCAGCTGTTATATCTGCCAAAGGTGGACACTTTCATGAATCTAAAGTTTAGAATATGTTTTGGTCAACATAGTAAACAGTAAAAAATGTTAAAAAGTGAGGTGTTCTAAAACTTTTGACCGGTAGCTCAGAAAATAGCATAATATTGTCTCTTTAATAGTTTACTAAGAATGACTGAGGCTCAGTAATCACTTAAATTTCATTTCATTTTGGTCTTAAAATGTTCGTATTAACTTGCTCTACATAATCCTGGTGTTTTTATTCCACTATTTTGTCTGTAAATTAATTCCTAATCTCAATAGGCAAATTGGCTCCAAATTTGCCCCTACTGCAGACCTCATAAGCTTCATTTGACTGGATCCGAAAGTCACACTCCTTTAGTCCACTTCTTTATACAGTTTGTTTAGACAAGAGGTCACTGGTCATCCATGTATATTGTTCAGCCTGGTAGTTTATAGATCACTAGCTATAAATTGCCTATTCATCTGTGTATTATAATATGTCTAATTAAATTTTTAATGAAAAATAAAGATGTTAATAAAAATCACTAGCTGTCCACACGTTGTTAATTAGGCATCAATAAAGCACTGTTGGAAATGGGAGTGGGATGTCAGGCAGTTACTTAGCCTCTATTAATATAAATGACCTGAGCTTAACAACTGCTGATAAATCTGTTTGACTTTTTAGTTTCTTGCATGACTGCTTTATTTAAATGAGGATGGTAATAAATATGTACCTACATCTACTCATTAGTAAAAGGCTTGTTGATAAGATCCCATCTGTTTGAAGTCAAGTTTCTGTGTTTGGCAAATAGATACAGTTATAAGCGGAGGATTATATGCACATTAAAGTTTTAGAGGTTCAGCTAAACCAGGTCTAAAAGGGGACTACAGCATTTCCACGACAGCTCTAAATAAGAAATCATCCAAAGGAGAACTAAAAAGGGGATAAAATGAACTCAAGTCAAATGAAGCTCATGGAGGCTGCCATTTATGGGACAAATTTGTCTGTGTTTCATTCTAGGAATATGACTCTATTTAACAGAGAAGTAAAAACACCAGGATCATGTAGAGCGGGTTAACATGAACATTTTAAGACCAAAATGACGAGCCTGACAGCAGTAGTGTGCCTATGTTCACTTCCTATATGGAAAACCGTGGCTAGCTAGCAGGTTAACTATGTACATTTATATACAACAGACATGTCAAACGCAGGCCCGGGGGCCAAATTTGGCCCATGATATAATTATATTTGTAGTGATGGGCAAATGAGACGGAGCTCTGGAGCACTTCTCGTTCTTTCTGAAACAAAATGCTCCGAAGCACTGCCTCAAAGCTCGTCTCGCAGCAGCCGCTCACGTGACCAAAGTGTCGAAGTGTCGGTCCCTCCCCCTACTGCTTCGCTCTGCATGTCAATCACTTCAGAGTATCAAAGCGTTTCATTGGCTCAGCGAATGTTCCACTCTGCGATTGGTTCAGAGTGCTTCAGAGTGTTCAGCGCACTTCCGTGGTTTGACAAGCGCTAAACTGCTACAGTATAAAAGATGCACCAATATTTCTTAAAAATGTTGGGTAGTGAGGAGTATTGTGTGACATTAGTGGTGATTTTGGTGACTTTTGGCAACTATTAGCATTTGTTTAATTTTTGATGGCATCTACAAGTGGAAAAAAGCGATCCATGGTATGGGATTATTTTGATCTAATTCCACCTAACAAGGTAACCTATTTTCTTATTTACAGCAGCTATTTACGTTGCTCTTTACATATTATTTAAAATCATCGTTATTATTGTTGTTGTTAGGTACGGTGTATGCTCTGCACACAAGTATTGTCTTACACTAACAATATTTCATCGATGCTGAGACACCTGTGTGCCAATGGTTAAATTTGTCCACCAGAGGTCAGTGTTTCTCCAAGGCCCCAGACACGTCGAACCATTTGAGACAATATTGCGACTGAGGTGTCAGTGCTTCACGAGGCTCCAGTCGCCCATCACTATATATTTGGCCTGCGATATCATATCAAATATGCATTAGAGCTGGCCCATCAGCTAAAGCTAGGCTATACAGACATTATTTATTTAAAATTTTGTAATAATTATTTTATATTGTGCTTGTTCTGGATTCAATGTTTACGCAAAATTATTATTAAACATTTATTTTAATAAGAAAAGGTTTAACATTACATATCTGGAAAGAAGAGAAAACATGCAGATGGTGTTGACATTTTTCAATAAATATTTAGTTTGGTCCACGACTTAGTCCCAGTTTTTAATTTTGGCCCTTTGTGAATTTGAGTTTGACACCCTTGATATACGGTATATAGTCTATGGTACCACATTTTGAGAACCTATAAACCATAAAGTCCTTAGCTGTCTTTGATATTCCTCATGTCTGTATGTGTGTATAAGTAAGAGTATAAGTATAAGATATATAGTGTCCTTACTGGCATGAGCATGGGGCAATCATCGGAGCGGCACAGCTTGGTCACACAGTGCAGGAATACTGTGGACATCTTCTGATTCTTGTGTTTTACGAAGCGGAACACTTCAAAGGAAAATCGCCCCATCTGGCTCTTCCCATTTTCCAGGATAGCCGTCTGAGGGTCCTTATCACAGCTGGTATGAACAGAGGAAAAATAATGACTTAAAGTGCATTTGACAGGTTTTCAGGTTTTCTAATTATAACTGGGTTTGGTGGGATAGTACCTGTGGGGAGTACTTATCATATTTTTTCCTCAGTTAAGTGACAGGAAAAAGAGTTGGCAAGAAAAGTACGAAAATACAGGAAGTGGCGGTGAGTGGTAAAATGGAATACCTCTCCCTATGTCATCAACACAGACATTTCCATAAAAACGCAAGGACAATTTATGCACATTTTTCTGAAAATATTCATTTAATAAAATATGCCATGTATTTTTATTAGTCATGCCTATTGTACAATTTCAATGTTTTTTATTTTTGATTTTGCAAGTATCAGCTCAATATGGTTGCTAGGTAACAGTTATTGAATTTCCTCTATGTATGTATGTATGTCATATCTGCTGTCCGTGTCCAACCAGGAAATAAAATGATCAAACTTAAAAGACAAGCTATGTTTTTTTTGCCAAATATAATTATGTTAACAATATTTTAGTGAAATTATTTTACTTTAAAGGTCCTACATTACACAAAATTGTACTCCTGTGAGCTTTAAGTCATGTTATAATGCTGTTACCTCCTCAAAAACATGTCTGGAGTTGTGTTTTGTTTCATTTACACATGTTTGAGTAACTCTTTATTATTAGTCTGCACACATCTCCAAAGATCAAAATGCTCTGTTCCACCTTATGATGTCATGAAGCAGTAGTTTCTCAAGTTAAGCTCTACTTTTTACCTTTAGTTCGCAAAAGATTGGAAATGCCAGGGCTGAATTATTCACATTATTCCAGTGAAGGTGTATGGAGTTTAAAAACAGAGTGGAGCACTTCCTGTATAACCACATGAGAGAAGAACTCGGCCTAAATGTGCAGGGTTTGTGTGTTAAACATGTGTGAATGAAACAAAGCACAACTCAGGGTGTGTTTGTGATGAGGAAACAACATTAAAACATAAAACAGACAACGGCGTAATATGGGCCCTTTAAACATGATCATAATTCAGAGAGAAAAAACATTACCTGAAGAAAAGGTCGTAGCGGAGATCATCGTTGGGGTTTCCAGAGGGAGTGGTGTAGCAGTAGTCCATCATAACGTTCCATCTGTTTCAAATAAAAAAGCTTCGTGTTATGTCCTGTGCTATTTTAAGAAGTGTTTTTGTACCAACACCTCTAAAATATTCTCTCTCAGTTCCACAACTTTAGTTATTCAAATGTATTTCCTCCCTAGGGCTGTTTTTGCTTCGGTTTAACTCTCCTCTAGTGAAAGGTTATTGCAAATTCACAACTCTTTCAAACAACTTTCCACAACACTGAAACAATGTTCAATGTAGTAAATGGTTGGCTGGGATCCAGAATACACACTCCTCCATTATTTTACGAATATGTGAGTCTGGTCAACGCTGAATGAGTTCAGATGGGCGTGACTGACAGCTGGATTAGCCAATCAGGGACATGCATGGTTAGTTCAGATGAAAACAAATATGGATATGCATGCAAAACATAAAAGAAAAACATTTCACAGGACTGAGGGCCTGTTTACATGAGAATGCTTGTGGGTAAAAACGACAAAATATTTTATCGGAAGTGCCTTTCCTTTAGAAGGTGACAGTGTTTTAGGGTCTTAAAAACGCAAAAATCTGAATCCACCCTCCAGAGTGGAAAAGTTGAATAAGCTCCACCATAGTGTTTCTGTCTACACTCCCCAAGATGCAAAACTCTGGTCATATCTGCTGATGTCGCATATGTGTTAACGTCACATACATCACCACCTATAGCGCCACCATCTAGCTGCATGGCATGCATACCCAATCGAATTGCACACACTCTTGCATCACCGTATGCACACAAATTTCCTCCCGAAAATGCTTGTCTAAATGTGGAATAAAAAGTGAAGAAGCGATGTCACTTTTGTGTCTTCTGTTCAGACCATCATCATATAAACGTAGCCTGAAAAACATTGAGAAGGAAGGAAATAGGAAGTGAACATGAGGGCACTTCTGGCTCCATCTACTCTGGTTCCAACTGACTTTACATTGGAAAATTATCCCCCCTCTCTCTGAAACTGCTGCGAGCCTTGTCATTTTGTCTTAAAATGTTTGTATTAACCCACTGTGCATGATCCCGGTTTTCATTTTGCTATTTTGTATCTAAATAAATTCCTATTCCTAATATGAACCTGGCTCAAAATTCGCCCCATAACCACTAGCATCGTGAGCTTCATGCAACTGAAGCTGAATGCTGTGGGTGACGCCACACTCCCTCAGTCCACTTTTTTATATGGTGTCACTGCCATAAAACAAATCTAAATACTTGTTACTGAATCTACAGAGTGAAGTGACCAGACTGACATCGTTCTGTATAAAAAATAGATTTTCTATATAGATAGAAATAGATATTCTGTGCGTGCTATAAACGGCTGAAAATACCATATGTTGGCCGTTCTCGAAGATACAATTATAATGCTTTTACCATACATTCTGAGAAGAGCTCTGTGGAGATAATTGAGATTCAAAGCACTATAATGAAGGCATCTGAGTCAGTTTGACAGGAGAACATGAACTTCCTGCCATATGTGCACTGTAAAAACAACAGCATGTTTAACTTCATTTAACAGCAGCACACCTGTTTGTCTAATTAGCAGTTACCACACACTTTCACTTTCACTTTAATGTTATAGTAGTTTAAAGCTCAACTGTCTGCTTTATACTGTATTTTAGAAATAATCATAACAATGTTCACTTTATAAATGCATTTTGTAAAAAGTAACATACTTGCCTGTGTTCCTATGCTGCATAAGATATTTTATTGTGTTTTCAATAATGCGTGCTGCATAATTGTTTTGACATTGTTTGCAACATTGTTTGTCTTTCTGGTCTTACTGGTCTTTAATGGTAGTCAGGCTGGCGTGACCTAGTGCCTCCGCTCAATTTCATTTCTCTCCAGTGACTAGGTCAGGAATCAGAATACACTAGATGGTTTGCAAGAACCCCAGAAGTTGTAGACCGCGCACCGGCCAATCAGTGAAAAGCTTTGAAGCCATGACATCAAACTCAAGCGCCTGTCTGGGTCCCTTTTGTGGTACAGTAAACAAAGCGGTCGAGATGGATGTAGACGAAGACATACATTCTGTGTTGGCAATGATTCCCCAGATCAAGGATTTAAAACCAGAGCTAAGAGCATGTTCGGTGAATTTTATCAAGGGGAAAGACGTTATTGTCCTTCTTCCAATGGGATGTAGTGCATTACATATGTCACGACCAAATAGCAACGACTGGTTAAATAAAAAAAGTACCTGTCTACTGTCAAGCGAACAAATCCTAATGCTGTGAGGTCAGATGGTTTCCACGAAGCAAAACTGGCTGATGAATCAGGCTACTCTAAAGGTGTGATATATAAATTTTCCAGTGGATGGCCTGCAACCTGTTTGTCTCCATGGTGATGTTACTGCTTTGCCTGGATTGTTCCACAATACGGCATTACATTTGTTTATTATGCTTATTGATTTACAAGTGTAGTTACAAACAATACCTTAAAAACTAGGATTCTTTAGCCCTATTCGCACAGGATAAGTACAACCTGGGAACGTCTAGTAATTTGCAAATTACCTCCCCACCTCTGTGTTACTTGCAGAGCATTCGCACGGGATAAGCCAAGTCTGTAAATTACTCTATTTTGCCGACACTGACACTGAGATTGAAAGAAAAAAAAGCAAAAATAAAAGAAAGAGATAGAAAATGCACAGAATTACAACAACACTGAGATGCAGATTGGCACTGGACTAGTATCACTGGATGTCTGTGTTTGGCAAAATATAGTAGGCAATTTGCGTCTTCACAAATTGCAGACATAGCGCATCTGCATGGGCTTACGATCTCAGGCATCCTCCACAATCATTACAAATCACCAGAGGTCCACACCTCTCCACAGATCAGACCTGTAACTTGGCCTTGTGGGGTAACCTGCTTATCTTCACCAGAGATGGATAGATACTAACAGCATTTTTACATTGCAATTTGAAAATCTAATGCCTTCTGTACTTAATAGATTTGTTCTCTATTCTGGATTGTTTTAATTCAAATGTCATACTTTTAACAGTCATTATTTCAACTATGATGTAAGTGGAAAATGACAGTATATATTTCTTAGCTCGCTGTATATTTAGGCCAGTGTTTTAGTCTTTTCTTTTCTTCACAGTGTTAGAGCGGCATGTCTTTCACAACCATTGTTCTCCATGCTGTGAGTGGGCGTCTCCCCTCTCACACTTTTACTTTTCATTTTTACAGTGGAATAGAGTTTCAGCTCAGTGACATGCTCTTTATTAAACCCAGGACAGATGAGATTAGCCGCTGAATAAAGGGATTTGGTAGCCTACTATGCCGCTGATAGATATCGAATAAAAAAATGGAAAAAAAAATGAATTTGATCTCTGTCTCATTGAAGTTGATACAATACCTTCTGTCCAGATTGGTGGCTTTGACCGCTGCAAAAACCCTGGTCTTCAGAGTCAACCCGGCCATGGGGATCGCCAGCTGCTGTACGTACGATGAATCCTAGAAGCACAAAACGCACAATTCATTTCTCTATCACCCAATTTGCAGGATAATTTCATCATCTGGCAACCATAGAATTCCACTTATTATTCATATCAGGATCAACTTGACAAGAGAGATCCAGCTCGTGACATGAATTGAGGGTGAATTGAGGATAATCTGCTCCAATTAGAGGATTATGGGTAATTTGTAAGACTTCTGAGGCTTTGGGTAACTGTCTTGTCTCCTACACAGATCATCGCCTGGTGTAATTGCAGCAATACAAGTCTAAAAAGGTGAAAATGATATGAAGCTTCCTCTGCAATTGAATGAGTATCAAGACGGGTTGGGCGAAAATGACAACAAAGAATATCTCAATGTTTTTGCATAACCTCGATACTTATATATTCATAGGATATTTTAAAGGTACAGTGTGTAACTTTCTGGAGGTGGCACATCAGCTGCCTGGTTCCAAGTTTGGGCCATAGTTTGAACCATTCTCCAGAGACAGAAGTTTACTGTTTATTGTGAAATAATATAGTCACAAGTCTGTCTATAGTTACAAGTCTGCTCATTGTAAGGATGCTTGTTTTTCACTGCAATTAATTAGAATCTAATCTAATCTGGAATTTTTTTTTTTTTTTTATGCATTTTTTTTTTTTTGTATGAATGGAGCATAAAATTAACCAGAAAATGGTATCCCTTTACAGCCTTGCTTGGGATATCAATCCTTTGTTGTCTTTTATTGATTTAAATTATTTATATGAATTTTATTGTCATACCCTGTTGTTTTTTTATTATGTTTATCTTCTTGTCTTATCTTATCTTATCTTTTATCGTTTATCTTATTTATTTATTTTTCAATTTTATGGTTGTATTTACTATATAAAAAGTGGTACATAAAAAAGTGGACTGCATTACAATAGCCATATGTAATACAATATAACTCAATATTCTAATTTAGCATATCAAAAGAACAGTTTTGATATTATCAATTTTTCATGCCCACCTATTGTTCCATGCAAACATATGCATCTTTAGAGAGAAGTAACAAGCTCATCTTTTATATTGGACGAGAAGGAACTCACGTTGTACAGGAGCAGGTTGAGCGTGCTGACGAAGGTACCATTGCTCTCCTTCACGGAAATTGCTGCCGCTGACCTTTGATAGAGATAAAAATGAAAATATTTCTAGAAATGAAAACAAGTAATAAAATGACCTCTGGTGATATCTGGAATATATATGTAGTTTTTCAGATGGTGGGTTTATTTGTGATTGTCCTTGATTAACCTCTAAATCACATTATAGCACTGTAGAATTTCATTATCTGCAGACAGTAAACAGGAAGGCGTATTTTTAGCCTAAAGAGACCTGTAAAATAGTCTCTAAAACATAATGAAAACTGAAAATACTGGTGGAGCCTTTAGTTGAATCTGTTCTATTTTCCCCCGATTAGGTCAAATGTACGAGTATTTATTTCTAGCAGGTAATTATGTTGCTAACCTTGTCAGTGTTGTCCATAACACCGGGCTGTTCTGAGCCTAATGAAAAAATCCTATTATTAAAAGCTATATAATTAGTAATGGTCTAAGGAGAAAATGTATGTACCTTATTAAGTCTTTTTATAGCAATCTGTGCTTTTCTCTGTCTCAAAACCTGCATTATAAACCAATATAACCTTCTTCTAATTATTCTCAATGAAGGTAGAGCATCTACTGTAGGTACTGGAAGCATATGGTGCAATAGTAAAGATCAGTAATAGTCAATAAGTAACAGTCAATAATGAATGAAGATCAGACAAAAAATGCAACTAAAATTATTATTGGTCAATTGAAATAATGTTTTTTTTAAATACAAGGCTGTGATCACAGGCCCAATGTCACTCTTCCAATCCACAAGCTTCACAGATGTCGTTTTAAAGGTGCACTGCGTAATATTTCTAGTGGAGGTTTTGCCACCTGCTTGTGCCCATGAAAATGTTATTACTTTATCTACAATGTTCCAGACTACTCCTATATATCACAAAGGAGACAAGCAGGCACTATGCTACATTACAATTCAGATCTGTGGAGAGTTGTCCCTATTCACAGAAGGAATTATTGTATTTTTGAGCAATAGAAACACCCATAATGAATAAAAATGGAACATTCCACGCAAAGCAACTACACGGAGACAAGTAGGTAGTGGACTCTCCACCAGAACAGTTGAGCAGTGCACCTTTAAGGCCCTTTATTCTCTGGTATAGAATAAATGCATAAAAAAAAAAAAAATATGCATTGGATTTATATAGCCCCTTTGAAGACAGGACATTATTCAATTATTCATTCAAAGTGTTTTTGCTAATTAACAAAACATGCGTCACTGTTTAATTAGGAACATCTACGAACTATTTACAAATGTTTATTAATCATTACTTACTGATGTGCTAATTATTTTTAATTAAATTTTAAGTAAATGATTAGTTAATGGTCAATCAAAATCAAATCAAACTTTATAAATAGAGCGCTTTTCATACAAAAATGCAACACAAAGCACTTATAATAAACATTTGCAAATGATTTTCACATATGCCTTATAATAGGTGTTACCTAAATGTCCCCCATCCAAATACTAACCTGACTCAAATCTGCTTAAGTTCTCAGATCATGAGCACTGTCGAGGGAGTATGGCTATATCCATTTTATCTATTCCATATTTCATTCTAAAAAGCTCCTCTGTAATACTAAGGCTGCAGTTTTATTAAATAGAGTGCATTTGTCAGTATCAGGCGTACAGAATGCCACCCTCTCCCATCTTCTGTTGTGGCCAATATAGCCCTTATCTAAGAGAAGTAATAGACTGTATCCTCAAGTACCTCTACAAACCAAGTGAGAGACTTCTAAACTAACATTACAGCTTCGAAGTGTTCTCAGTCCTTAACAGTACCCAGGCAACGCTTTTATTCTGTAGACTGTGGTGTAGGGCTGTTAAAGGTATAGAATATCAGATAGTAATCGATACTAAAACTGGTATTGAAATTAGATACTCATTTGAGCAAGTATTGATACAAAAAAAGCCACATAAACACAGCAGAAATTAACTTTTTACGAATAGATTTAGAATGATCTTGATCTTGAGCTATTGGACTTGATTGACTTTTGGCTTTATTTGTGTGTGCGTTTTTTTATTTGTTTATTTCTGTCTGTTTATTTTTTGTTTGGTTTTATTTTGTTATGTATAATTTCAAAAACAAAAAAGAATGATCTTGAGCTGTTTTGAGGGATTACACATATATAAGACCACATGGTAATATAAAATAAAGTATTATGATTTAATATAGAAAATCACATCCATTGTCACATCTAAGAAGGAGTGTTTTTTAAATTGTCATTGCAGTATGGGAATAGGTATTGAGTATCAAGTCTATTTCTTAATATCGAAATAAAGTTTAACAGTAGTACTGTGGTGACTTACGAGGCGAGCTGTGTGTTATTGACCAGATACTCCAGAGGGTAGCTACAGCTGAACTTGTATTGTAGCCCGGGCAGGTAGCTGATGATAGTGGAAGGGTCTGGGGTGTCGATGTACCCCGAAATGCTCCCAATCTGAACCAGAGACATGTTTCCATAGGCATTAGGGCCATGGGCTGTGGAGACCTACAACCACGAGACAAAAAGAACTGTCACTTAAAGGTCACACACAATTGATTTTTGTGAGCTGTAAGACATGTTAGAATGTTGTTACCTCCAAAAAAGTGTACCTGGTGTTGTGTTTGTTTCAGTCACACGTTTTAGTAAATCTTCATGATTATTCTGTCTACATTTCTAAAGCTCAAAATGCTTTGTTGCACCTTTGATGTCATGAAGCAGTAGTTTTCAAGTTAACAGCTGCCTTTTACTTTTAGTTTAGTAGAGACTGATGTTTTCAGGGCTGTATCACATGACATCACAAGGTGGAAAAGAGTGTTTTCTGTTTGAGGGAAGAACTCTGCCTAAATATGCAGGACTTGTGTGTTAAACATGTGTGAACAAAACAAAACAAAATTCCAGAGAGGGTGTTGATGCGAAAACAACACTATAACACAAAAAACAGTGTAAAAGAAGTACCTGAAAATGTACTATTGTGATATAGGCACTCATCTTTCCAACTTGGTACAGTGAGAAAACTATTATTGGACAGAGGCCACACTGGACGGACCACGATTGTATCACCCATTCCACAGAGCATATAATCCAAAAGTCCATCAGCCTTATCTAAAGTACACTCCAGGAACTGTCCCACAGCGTGTGGTACATCAAGACAGAGGCACGCAGCTATGCACACTCTCGCTGTAAACTGCCTTCAAAGTGCTACATCCAGTTTATTTTTTTCCTCAACATAACATGAGATAACGCCTCTCCTCAGATCTGAAATGTTGAAAACTTGAACCAGTGCCGTCATATAATTGTCTCCGTGGAGAAAGACTTAGGTTAGGTTTCATGCAATATGTTGGAACATTCCAGATAAAGCTCTTTTATATATTGTGTATCTTAAAATGCTATTTTTTTACCCTGCAAGATCATAGTAGTCCCACATCACCTCTCCACAAATCTGTTCTTTGGCCTAGTCCCATCATCTCCATGGAGATGTGTTTCATGCAACATCATCGGTGGATAGATAAATTTAATGCAATAGTGTGAAACATTTTAGGTAAACTTTATCTGGTAAAGTAACAATATCTCCATGGGGACGAGCCAGTTGCAGACACCAAAAAAGTTAGCATCTTTAAGAATTACATATCTTAAAAAGCTTGTCTCCATGGAGACAGATGCAGTAGTGTTGAACATATCAGGTCAAGCAATATCTGCACTAAGACAAGCTCTTTAAGAATTATTATCTTAAAGTGCCTATGTAAGATTCTAACATACAAGAAGAAGGCCTGCTGCTGTCATCTTCTCATCTCCCTGAGATAAATAGGTTTAATGCAATACAGTAGAACATTCCAGGTAAAGCAATAATAACTCCATGGACACAAGCTCTTTGCAGACCCTCTGCCAAAAATAGTTGCATAGTTCACCTTTGAGAATAACATATCTTAAATAGCTTGTCTCCATGGTGATGCAATGCTAGTTTCAGGTAAAGCAATAATATCTCCACCGAGACAAACTCTTTAAAAATTACGTATCTTAAAGTGCCCCCTGTGAGATCATACGATAAAAGATAACAAGCTCTGGTCTAAGTTCCCATGCAAGACAAACAGGAGAGTGAGGATGGGTTCATTGGAGAAGACAGACGTTGCGAAAAAACAATAATTTGAACTCTTTGTACTCGGCTCTCTGCTCTGTAAAGAAAAACTCGCTGCTGGAGTTTGCCTTGTCAGCTCTTACTTGCAAATCTATGCTCATGCATGTTTAATGAGATGTTGAGGCCTAATGGGTATTTGGGATGTAAAAATGTGTCAAAATCCATGGCAGCTGAAGAGCATAGAAACAGATGGTACTAGAAAGACTAAAGCAGGACAGTAATATCATGTTTATGTATTAATTTCATTTGAGCAACTCAGCCAAAAATGTATAATTAATAGATAATAAGAAAACAAGGTGGAGCTTAGTAACTACTTCATTAAGGGGGTCAGGTTAGAAGTTTGGGTTCGGGAATGAATTAAAGTGCAGGTTGGACTACAAATTTTTCTTCCTGGTTGGAAAATATGAAATCACACTGGGGAATTACATAACTGTTACTCAGCAACCATCATTAAATCTGGGCCAAAACCCCTCTAATGTACACAGAGATAATTATTTAACAAACAAAATCTATGAAAACACATTTATGTTGTTGAAGTAATGTTTAAGGATCAGAAACATGTTTCTTTTGTGTAAATTGTGCTGAACTTTCAGATTTTCTTTTCTTTCTTTGTAGGGTGATAACTATAATTTATATTTACAACATGCATTATGCCACTAAATTAAGTCAAAATTTGAGAATGATCAAAACTTCAAGTAGCTACTAAGCCTGAATAATTTTTAATAAACTATTTGGTCACTATGAATTACCGTAGTATTGCTAGAGTTTGCTCTTTTACTGTCACATTGCAGATTTGTTACCTGCTTTATGGTTGTTGCATCTGTAACTACTGGACCAATTCACATCAGACAAAAACAGGCAAACGCGAAATGCCAAATCTGTCAATATGAATAAACAAAAGCAAAATAATTTTTTCACAGCAACCTCAGAAAGTGGTGCCATTATTCAACCCAAAAGACATGAGTAGGTTGAAAGGATTTAAAAGCAGAAGATTAAGTTTGCAAACAAATACTGATAAGGTTCAACATTTGTTGATTATACATTCAGGTATTTGTGATAAACTTAAATCTCCAGTACAGTTGCTAGTATATAGTCCCCCAGCCCTCCATCTGAAGTTATAATGTTAAAACATTCTAAAACATGAACATGACCTACTTAGCTTGATAGACCATGATCCTATATGACAAATCTCACCCAAATATTATTCATGAACATATCCTACTAAATAAACATGCATTTGGTCCATTGTGTACCTTTTTGGATAATTTATGCTTATATACAGCCAGAGCAAAGCCAGTGCTGTCCTCATTCTGTTTGTGTAAGGTCAAACTCTATTTTTACTGAGAATGCCGCTTCCAGGTGTTTTAGTAAGAATATATGCAAAGGTTTACAAAATTAGGTCCTTTATTTTTGATTAAAAATAGGTCATGTTCATGTACTAAAAGTGGCTAATGTTATCATTTCAGATGGAGGACAGGGGCCTAAATAAGTCTATGGAATATTCACTGAAATATATAAAGTTATGATACAGAAAAGTTGAACCCTGTCATTATTTGTTAGAGGTGCACTGTGTAACATTTCTGGTGGAGGGTCCGCTACATGATGTCTGCATGAAAATGTTATTGCTTTGTCTAGAACATTCCACAGTATATGTTAAAGGTCCTATATGACACAAAATTGGTTCCTATGAGCTTTTAGTCATGTTAGAAAGCTGTTACCTCATCAAAAACATACCTGGAGTTGTGTTTAGTTTCATTCACACATGTTGAGTAATACTTTATTATTTGTTTGTCTACATCTCCAAAGCTCAGAATGCTCTGTTCCACCTTGTGATGTCATGAAGCATTAGATTTCAAGTTAACAGCTACCTTTTACTATTTCTTTAGTAAAGACTGGCAACTCCAAGGCTGAAAGTATCCAGATGATTCTAGCAAAAATGTATGAAGTTTTAAAAACAGTGCAGCACTTACTGTATTATCACATGACATCACAAAGTGGAACAGAGTGTTTTCTGTTTGAGGGAACAATGCCTAAATTTGCAGGGTTTGTGTGTTAAACATGTGTGAAAGAAACAACACACAACTCCAGAGATGTTTTTGATGAAGAAACAACATTATAATATAGATCAGAAAGCAGGGCCCTTTAACTGTCCACACAAAAACTACTTTTGTCTGACCTATACTGAAAAGTTAAAAGTTTCAGCGTAGCTAGCTAGCTCAACCCTTGTCATGAACCATCAAATCTGGTACATATGTGGTACACTGTCTGCCCTGTTCTCATTACCTGGATGTTTCTTACCATTACAGAATAGCCACAGGACCCCAGGGTGGCCAGGCTAATGCTAAAACAAAAATTAAGGAATTAGGTTTAAGCTGTTAGTTGCCTGGATCATTTTAAATAAACAGTTTCTTCTTAAAAGTGCATTGTGTAACTTTTCTGGTGGAAAAAGGGGTCTGCTACCTATTTTTCTCCATGGAGATGTTATTGCTGTGTCTGAAATGTTTGACAGTATAGCATTAAACCTGTCTATCATCATGGAGACCAAACCAGACCAAATTACAGGTCAGATCTGTGGAGAAACAACCCCAGTCACAGTCAGGATGCCTGTTTTTCTAGATATTTTAAAACTATAACCACTTGTAATTGAATACATGTGAAGTAGATCTGTTTAATGTGATATTGTGGAACATTCAAAGCAGAGCAATGACATATCCATAGAAACAAGAAGGTGACGGACCCCCAAGTGAAAAGTTACACAGTGGAACTTTAAGTCTTTAAGTCCCGCTTGATGCTTGGCTTGTGGTTGTTTGTGGAGTTATTACAAAGTGTTCCCATTGGCAGAGAAGATATTCAATTTATGCCACTCTTTGTTTCATGAGGATATTGTCCCAGTAATTACAGAAACAATAACTATAAACCAGGTCAACAAATCTGCAATCTGAATAAAGTAAACAGCAAATTTCATTATAGGAAACTTACCAAACTTCCTGCTCTATTCTAATTGTGTTGTGGAGTCCAATGAATGCAACTTAAAGGGCCCATATTACACTATTTTCTGATGTTATAATGCTGTTTCCTCATAAAAAAAACAAACCCAGATTTGTGTTTTGTTTCATTCATACATGTTTATCACGTAAGCCCTACATATTTAGGCAGAGTCCTTCTCTCAGTCAGAAAACACTCTGTACCACCTTGTGATGTCATGAGATACAGGAAGAGCTACTCTGTGTTTTTAAACTTCACACATCTTCACTAGAATCATTAAGATTATTTCAACCCTGGAATTGCCAATCTGTCCTGAACAAAGGTTGCTGTTAACTTGAAAATTACCATTTCATGACATCACAAGGTGAAACTGAGTATTCTGAGGTTTAGAAATGGAGACGAACTAACAACAAAGGGGAGTATGCCTATGGTTCCTCAGCCTTACGTTCCCTAATTTCTAAGTTTGTTTTTTTTTTCTTTCAAAATTTAAGCCCTATGTTCCCACATTTCCTTTATCATCAATTTGCATAAAATTTTATCCCCATTTCTCCAAACATGATCATCATTTACACTCAACCTATTATCCAGCAGCAGTAGACTACAGATGCATTGCAGAGGTCATAGTGCAAAGGATCCTAGGTTGAAATTATTCTGAATCATCCCTTTAAATGTGGTATAAAAATAAAAATGACTTGACATAGAGTTTAATTTTGAGAAAAGTCTTGATTACTCAAATGTGTGAATGAAATAAAACACAACTCCAGATATGTTTTTGAAGAGGTAACAACATTATAACATGGCTAAGAGAAAGACTCATTTTTGTGCAATGGCCCTTTAACTGTCCACGCAAAAACTACTTTTAGCTGGCCTGTACTGAGAAGTTAAAAGTTTCAGCGTTGCAAGCCAGCACAGCCCTTGTCATGAACCATCACACACACATATCTGGTACACTGTCTGCCCTGTTCTCATTACCTGGATGTATCTCACCGTTAAAGCATTGCCACAGGACTCCAGCGTGGCCAGACTGATGCTAAAGATAACCAGCGTGGGGAAGGTGTTGTTATTGATGAACCCTCGGCAGTGGGCATCTCCATGGCGACCGTTGAGGGCCAGGTCGGTGTCGGTGTAGCCGGAGAAGAGCACGGGGCAGAAGTTAATCTTAAGGGTGATGGTCTGAACTCCACAGTACACGCTGATGTCCCTCTCAGCTGTGGAGTAAAAACAAAAAGGAGATATGTTTTGATAGAGAGATAGGTTGTGTGCAAGGTGTTTAAACCCAAGATCTCACTTCAAACTTTTGAGGAAATTTGCGAGTGGGTGAACAAGTATCATGGAGTGCTTTTTTTTTTTCTTTTCTTTTCAAAGAGCTGACAGAAAGATATACAGCTGAGTTTCAAGTTATTACAATAAGCAAGTTATTGGACACAGTTGTTATTTTGGTGAGGAAAAATATAAATAAAATAAAATACGTTCCACTATAATCCCGTTTAAAGGTCCTGTAACTTCAAGTGGAGGTTGTACCAACTGCGTGTATTTGTCAGCATGTTCCACAGTATGGCATTAAATCATCCATCTTGCATTTCCACTATTTTGTAACACTTTTTCAGGTTAAAAATAACTTGTATGTCATGCATTCTTACGATGAGCATGGTCGCCTCTCCACAGATCTAACCTGTGACTTGGCCTGGTGCTGTTATCTGCTTGTCTCCATGTAGATAGACATGTTTAATGTAATATTGTGGAACATTTCAGGTAAAGCAATAACATCTCCATGGAGACAAGCTGGTTGCAAACTCTCCACCAAAAATGTAACATAGCTGAACTAATATATTCTTATCACTCAGATCTGTAAAGGTGCACTATGCAACTTTTTGGTTACGGGTCCGTCACCTTTTTGTTTCTATGGATATGTCACTGCTCTTCTTAGAATGTTCCACAATATGACATTAAACAGCTCCAGCTTACATTTATTCAATTAAAGGTGGGTTTATAGCTCAAAAATACTTAGAAAAACAGACATTCTGACTGTGAGCGGAGTCGCCTCTCCTCAGATCTGACCTGTAACTTGGTCTGGTTTGGTCTCCATGAAGACAGAAAATTTTAATACCATACTGTGAAACATTCCAGACAAAGCAATAACATCTCCATAGAGAAAAGTATTAGAAAAGTGACACAATACACCTTTAATAAGATTAGTTCAAACTGCAAGCTGGATACTGTTTCTCTCACATGTATTTTCCCTCTGAAATCTCTTTGAGGCTTCACCCTTGAAGGAAACTATGAGCGTGTTACCATGGAATTTTGTGAGCTTCTGTTTGGAATAGTGTAAAATTAGACTTCTTCTGTCTGTAAAATTTCATTAGTTTAAAATGTCTGCATGTAACATAGTGTAACAAAGGGCACATGTGTGGAAAAACCGCACTGTAGTTTTGTATTCTCACCGGGGATTCGGCTGTGAAAGGTGCCATCACAGTTGTATCCATTGAACTGAGCTTCGACAGATAAAACCTTACCGAAGAGTAAAAGAACCAGAAATATATGTTCCATTTCAGCACCTGCAAAAAAAAGAGACAGAATTTAAAGTTAAACTAAAACACCAAAACTTAAATTTCAGCTTTGTCACCTCTGCAAAGCTCAAAGTTACACAGCTCAAAGTGAAATCTCATATTTTATTCTTAAACCCAGGCTGTATTCTTGTTCTTCGGCTGGAGTGGGGTGGGGGGGGGGGGGGTGGTCCCTGAAGATTGGGAGCTATCTTACAGTTTTGACTTCACAAGAACAGAATCAAAGCAGACAAATGTCACAATGAATTATGTCTGAACACCTGCAGCTTTTGGTCTCAAAGAAATTACGACGGACAATTTGGCGATAACTACTGGCATTTCAGAGTATAATGTCTTATCTCTGAGCACACATCTGATGGCTTTCTCATCACAAAATCGCCTCAGCTCTAATTTAAAGGGGGAGCTTATGGTCTTAAAGGTGCACTGTGTAACTTTTCTGGTGGAGGGTCTGTCACCTGCTTGTCTCCATGGAGATCTTATTGCTTGCATTAACCATCTTGCATGTACTCAGTGACATGGGTTGTTATTTACCTAAAAACCCACTTTCTTACTGTGAGTGGGCTCGCCTCTCCACAGATCACAGCCTGGCTCTGTAGTGTCACCTGTTGTCTCCACAGAGATGAGTAAGTGTAATGCTATACTGTGGAACATTCCAGGCAATATCTCTTTAGACAGAAGGAGGAAATGTTTCACAATGCACCTTTAAAGGGAACAAGTACAAGTACTAGAATGGTCCACAATAAGGCATTAAACAGAGTGTCCTGTATTTATACCATAAAAGGTGCTTTACTGCTCAAAAGTACCCTGAAAATCATGCCTTCTCACTGTGAGGGGGCTTTCCTTTTCACAGATCTGACCTGTAACAAGAGCTAGTCGCGTCACCGGCTTGTCTCCATGGAGATAGAGACGTACTGTACCTTACTGTAGAAAATTCCAGGCCAAGAAATGACATCTCCATGGAGACAGGAGGAGCAGGTTATGGACCGACCATCCACCAGAAAACCTGCTCGTCTCCATGGCGATGTAATTCCTTTGCCTGAATGTTTCACAATAAAGAATGTATGTTATTCGTTATAGCAAATACCTTTAATAAAAGCCTTCAATAAAAGATTTTAGAGTTTAATACATTCCAAGCAACAATGTGCGTTATCATAGAGACTAATGCGAGACCTCCATCAGAAAAGTTACATAGTGCACTTTTAAAGGGGTAACACTTCTTTTCAAGTGGTTGGTCCATACCCTGCTTGTCTCCACGGAGATGTAATTGTCATTGCTTTGCCTGGAATATTACATGCTAAGACATTAAATTTAGCTTTCCCCATGCAGGTGACACCTCCAGGCCAAGTTACAGGTCAAAACTGTGGAGATGTGAGCACACTCATAGTAAGAATGCAAGTTTTTAAAGTAGTAGAACATTCTTTAATGAAATAAATGCAAAAAGACAAGTTTAATAGACAAAGATATAACTTCTCCATGGAGACACACAACCGCCAGTCTCTCAACAGAAATGTTATATAGTGCACCTTTAAAATCAGTTATCACATTTAATCTCGAGTTGGCCCAAAGGCCTTTAAAACTCACCCTGGTCAGGTTAGCGGTTCTCCATACGCTTGGACCAGTCGACGCGATGGTCCGCACAGCATCCCTACCTGGAGTCTAGGAACTGGGGCCGGGGATGCACTGGGTCAAAAAGGGACGCTACGCATAAGAGATTCATTATTTGAACATGCCAACAAAAAAGAACTGTCCACTGGCTACATGGGAAAGGCCATCATGTGTCACTGTGTTATACAAATCCTTTCACAACTGTTGAAATACGAGCAGGTTTTCAGGTTTCCCACTCGGATCCTTTCGGCCCAGTCTGGCTCTGTCACTGCTCACAAATGGTTCTGACGCTGTGTGAGGCAGGAGGGGGTAGAATTATCTTTTCATCACTCTTGGTCGGGAGTTTGGCCTTGTTGACTGAGCTGCTCCCTTTTCTAGCCCCCCTACCGAAGCCTCAGTGGTGGTGCTCGGTGGGGTAGAGCCGAGCCCACTGCGCTGAATGCCCCCAGAGCTAGAAATCCATGCTTTTTTCATGTTTTTTCTGTGTGAGAGTGTGGGCCAGGGCTCAGTCAGCAGAGCAGCAGGTGATTTCGAGTGGCACTATCCTCCGTGAACTTTGAGTCCTGAGTGGAAAAAATAAGACAGCAAAAGGCAAAGGTTCAGAGTCTAGGGGATTATCGTCTCATCTCTGACCATTTTTTTGGTGTGTGGGTAGAGTAATAGCCAGAGATTATCCTTATATAATATTACTCAAATAGTGGTTGAACAAATTACTCAAATAGGAGTGACAATGCATTTGGGAAAACAACTACTCAAGTAAGAGTAACTTATAAGTGCATTGTGTTACTTTTCTAGTGGAGGGTCTATCAAATTCCTGTTACCTTTCTATCTTTATGGAAATCAAACCAGACCAAGTTACAGTTCAGATCTGTGGAGAGGCAACCCCGCTCACAATCAGAATGCCTGTTTTTCTAGGTATTTTTGAGCCATAAAACCTGTAAAACTTGTAATTTAATAAATGTAAGGTAGAGCTGTTTAATGTCATACTGTGGAACCTTCCTAGCAGAGCAATGACATATCCATAGAAACAAGCAGGTGGCAGATCCCCAACCAAAAAGTTATATAGCGCACCTTTAGAACCTAACTGTTGGAACGTAAATGATGTAATCTGAAGGACAAAACGTAAAAAATAATGCATAAAATCTGGTAATTTCAAAGGATAGGCACAAAAATTAGAAAAACTAAATTATATCTGAGGGAGCGCATTTTTATTTTTTTCAAATTATTTAATGTTGTCAACATACACTTTGTCACTTGTAGACTCAGTGCAAAGAGTAACCAATCACTATTTTGCTTTTACTCAAGTAAGTACTGTTACTTGATTAAAATATTATTCAGGAGTAAAAGTATGCTGCTAGAAAATTACTATGAAAAGTACAATTTCTTTAAAAAGTTACTCTAGTAAATGTAACTGCACAGCCCAGCTCTGATAACAGACTGCCAAGCTAGCAAAGTTGGAGAACACAAACATAACGCCTGTCACTATAATTACTGTATCGACTTGCCATTCTTTTTGTTATTTTTCTGTTGTACAATAAGATTTGAGCTGAACAAAGTTAAATAAATCACTTCTATGACTCATTAGAGATACAAACTAACTACTAAGAGACCAACTAAATGTTTCATTCTGTTATGTATTGCAACTTGTGTGTTTTTTTAACAATATTGGACATTTAGAATAGCTTTTTCAGGGTAATTTTTTAGGATTATTGAGTCAGTGGCATAAATTAGTTAGTAGTTAGTCTTAAATATATTGCAGTTCAATCTTTGTTATTGTGACAGGCCTTATACATAAACTTTTTGCAACCAGCTTTGCAATTTCAGATGTAAACAAAAGGGGCCATTGTTCAATTTCACATTCCATCCCTCTTGAAAAATCACCTATACTTTCTTGTCTATTGTTGTGCCCCAGTGACAATTTTGTACCAGGTTCTGCCTTTGTAGCAAACTCACAATTTTGAGTGCATTACAGCCTCTCCTATATCTTTGAAGTATCTTGAAAACACAAAATATGTTGTATTTTTGCAATAAATTCAGCGCACTTACCTTACTCTGTTGTATTGTTTGGGCATAGCAGTATCTTAGTGTGTTCCTGTTGTAAATAAAAAAAAAAAAAAACTCTGCTGATTTGAATTCAAATTTCTATTTAAGAAGATGAAGATGCTATTTAGTATTATCCACCATTCTGCTAATAATCTTAAATAAATATAAATAAAGCTGTTGTGAGTAAATGTGAGAAATTATCTTTTTAGTTATTACCTAAATTAAGCAAATATTTCTTCAAGATCCTCTCACCCCGGGCCCAATCTTGAAATGATGCTCAAAACTGGGATCTTATTTTTAAATACTAATCGGGGTAATTTGTAATGGCCGGAGATTTGGCAAAAAACAGCAAAAGGAACAATGTAGATCTATTCGAGAGGGGCCCGATAGCGATCTAGAGTGGGACAGCACCTCAATTACCCAGAGTGCATTTCATCACTTCGTCCAGGGGTTACATGGGGTCTGTGTTATCTGCGAATCTTCTTCCAGGAATCACAGCAAACAATGGGGCTACAGGACATATTTGGACATTCATTACCTGAAACAAACAAATAGAGTTACATAAGACGAAAAACATTTGGAAAATTTGTTTTCAATAGACCAAAGGCATAGTTTTAATTCATTTTTGTGCAAGTAATTTCAGTTGGGAGCATGGCCTCATATGACCCAGCACTGAACTCATACAACCTCATCTAATTGAGAGCCACGGGTACAAATCATGTTGCTACCCAAGAATGTGGTACTGTAATAAAAATGCTGTGTTACATTGCATGGGATTATTAACTGTTATAATTAAGGATTAAAATGAAATGAAAGTACGTGGGCCATCTTGGAGTGCTTGGAATGTAATAAATTACATGCAAAATACATCAATAAGTAGAAATACAATAATAATTAAAGCTACTTTCTGATGTATGTTGTAATGTTGTTTCCTCATCAAAAACATACCCGGAGTTGTGTGTGTTGTTTCTTTCACTCATGTTTGCAATACACAAACCCTGCATATTTAGTGTGTGCTCGTTACTCAAACAGAAAACACTGTTCCCCTTTGTGATGTCATGAGGTAATACAGGAAGTGCTCCACTGTGTTTTTAAACTCCATACACCTTGACCAGAATCATTTGGTTAATTTCAAGACAGGAATTTGCCAATCTCTACTGAACTGAAAGTAAAATGTGTAGAACTAGAAATATGTAGAACTTTGAAAGCACTGTTTAAAGCACCCATATCTAATGTGATAATGTTGTTTCCTCATCAAAAACCTACCTGGAGTTGTGTTTTGTTTCATTCACACATGTTTAAAACACAAATTCTGCATATCTCAAACAGAAAACACTCTGTTCCACCTTGCGATGTCACGAGGTAATACAGGAAGTGCTCTGCTGTGTTTTTAAAGTCCATACACCTTCACTAGAGTAATTTGGATAATTTCAGACCTGGAATTGTCAATCTCTAGTGAACAAAAGGTAAAAGGTAGATGTTAACTTGAAAATTAGTGATTCATGACTTCACAAGGTGGAACAGAGCATTTTGAGCTTTGGAGATGTAGACAGACTAATAATGAAGGATTACTCAAACATGTATGAATGAAACAAAAACAAAAAAAAGAAAAAGCCCACAATAATATTTTTTTTTAAATATAGGACTTATATTCCATACTTTTCAAGAACACATTGCTTGCACTTATATAATAACTTAAATGCTAATCATGGAAGTATAATAAGGCTTATTACATAACTATGATGCTAAAACTATAGTAGCAGTTAGCTGGTACCAAAGCTATTTTTCTTCACCAATTCCCCATTTGAAAAAAAAAAAATCTTCTTAGATTACATTATACCACGCTTTTTAAACACAGCCATGTTGTTTGCACATAATAAAATGCTTCATAACTATAGTAAGTGATCGACAGGTCTAAATTAGAAAATCACAAAGGCTGCAATTTTTTTTTGAAGTATCATTTCAATCATCAACAAATTATCCTTTCTTATTCTGCATAAAAACTACTAGCCCGGTTTAGATCTGTGTTCTGAAATGTGATTTGATTTCATATGTATTTTTGTCAGTTCTTCAGGATGAATATTATTATTAAAGAATATTATTATGAAAACATAAATCGCTAATTAAATTGCAGTGCTTGTCAGAAAGATGAATCACAAGATAGTGCTAGAGAAATATAGCGATAAACGATACTACTGACACTACTTAATGTCACTAACACAAAGCAGGACAATCCCATTAAACAGATTTTTAAATAGACCATATCATTAAAAGTCATGAGCTGCAAACAATATATTACAGAATTAACAGATAATTAGCCAAGCAGTAATTTACTGCTACTCTCTACAGCTCATATCTTTCCTTATTAAATAAAAATCGCAAAAATCTCTCCACTACTGCAAAGAAACTGTCCAATATATTTTGAGCCCCAAGACATATTGTTCCACTGTTCATATAATCAATGATAAGTCGATATAGTATGTATCACGACAGACTTACAATTTGATATTTTTACCAAATCAATAAATCCCATTTTGTGGTTTGTAACTCTGTAGAATATTAAGCAGTTTCAGGAAGTAACTGAATGTGATGTACATATTCTGATTACAAATTTAGAGTAACCGTATTGTAGTACATTACTCTTTCATTTGATAGTATTCAGATTACAGTTACTGTTCTAAAATCAAAAGAATACATTGCTGTATTTATTTACTTATTTAGACTTCAAACTACATAGAATTTCCAGTTAGTGATGGAAATTCATAAGAAACTGTGAAACTTTTTAAATGTATGTTGTGTCTTTACACTATCATTTAAATGCAAATTGATGTAAAAGTATTGTGTGTTTAACTATTCAGAACACAGTACTCAGACTGGCCCATGTACTGCAATATGTTACAGAATAAATTTTAATGCAGGTATTCAGTATTCTGCAAATAAAAACATTTTTCAAAGTACTTCTTTTCAAATATGTTTCAACATAGTCAAGAGTTAATTCAACTATGACAGTGCTGTAGAGTAAAAAAAAGTCGTTGTTGATTCACAGTGTTAACGTCAAAAACTTAGAAAGTGTCTGTTTTGAATATTACACTACATCAAAGTTGGCCTTAGAGATAGGATGAGGAGCTCAGTCACACGGGAGGAGCTCGGAGTAGAGCCGCTGCTCCTCCACGTCGAGAGGAGCCAGTTGAGGTGGCTCGGGCATCTGTTCAGGATGCCACCTGGGCGCCTCCCTCGGGAGGTGTTCCGGGCATGTCCCACCGGGAGGAGGCCCCGGGGAAGACCCAGGACACGCTGGAGGGACTGTCTCTCGGCTGGCCTGGGAACGTCTCGGGATTCCCCCGGAGGAGCTGGAGGACGTGTCTGGGGTGAGGGAAGTCTGGGAGTCCCTGCTTAGGCTGCTGCCCCCGCGACCCGGCCCCGGATAAGCGGACGAAAATGGATGGATGGATGGAAGTTGGCCTTTTGTAACATTTCCAGCGAGAGAGCTGCAGTCCGAGAGAGAAGCCACATTTCACCGTCCGCTAAGCTAAGCTAACAGCTAACAGCGTTTGTGTTTCAGTCCATGGTTTCAGTAGAACTGAACTCAACGAGAGCCTCAAGTCCAACCACCTTGACCAGGACTAACCCGACACCCGCATACGCCTAAACCAGCTGAGTCCCGCTCTGCCTCTGTTCCGTCTCGAGGAGACCGCAAACAGCGGGTCCACGATCACGCAGCCCAAATCCAAACACCCTCACACGGCCCTATGTCTGCCTGCACCCGGTGCTGATTCCCCATTTCCAAACGAAAATCAAATGTCTTCGACACGGAGCCCCGGTCTGTACTGAAGTGAAGGGCAGGTTAGCATTACTTAGCTTAGCATCGTTAGCTTAGCTCTTCCACGTTTTCACCGTGTTGTTTTTCACGACTAATTGAATTTTATATATGTGCTAAGTAGTTGTAATTTTTGCCTTAATCTCATTCTATTTTTGTGATTAATGGCATTTAGGGGTTTTTGTTTCATGTGGGTCTTGTATTTAAAAATAAATAAATAATAAATAAAAGTAATAAAATAATAAAAGGGGCAAATTTTTTTTCAAATTACCCTTCAAGTTATTTATTTGAATGGTTCCTGTATACAAAAACATACAGCTCATGCAACAGAATAACCTGCTTAAAAGGAACAAACAAATAATGATATATGCACCATAATGTATTTACTATATATTTACTTTTTAATTTTTAATCATGTCTCATGAAATATTGAATAGCCCGTATAGCAAGGTGGTCACTTGAATGTTAAATTTTTTTCTATTCTATATTTTATTTTACAGATCGGTATGGACACATTTCTTGCTGGTTGAGCCTGGATGGCACGGCCTTTCTACCTGTGACTGAGGTGGGAAGGACAAAGGTTTTTTATGTCATTGTTGACCTGGCTGAATTTGGTGAACACTTCATGGCACTTGGTCCTCAGACTCTCACAAACTTTACACCTGTCTTCAAAGGACTGTCTACAACATGGACGTTGGATGTGTCAAAAGCAACCCCAAGAGTGAAAGACTGACTCTTGAGGCAAAAAGTTTCTGCAATGTTAATGTTTCATAATTAGCAAGACTCCCTCTATTGTGAACATTGTTATTTTTATATAATGGAGAGAAGATCTTGTTTCAGTCAGACATGCTCCTCATTTTTGGAGATGAGCATGCCTGAATTCCATTCAAAACAAGATCTTGATTCATCCATTGACTGCTTGCATTGAAAAATCAACTTTAAAAAAGTAAATGACAATCTTTGTGACCAACTGCTGAGGGCACAGAGAATTCCTGCTGTCAGTTGGATTTTGCAAAAATAGTATTGTGTCATATGACTTGTTTAAATTGTGTTGATTGTATGATGTGCATTGTTTTAATACAAGTTAAGTTGAAATGGAATTTTGTGGTGGTTTTCATTATTTTACATTTGTAAAAAGGGATTATGAACTAGAATGACCACAGCATTTACAACGTATTTAGAGAAGAAAGAGTTACTATTGAATAGTGTTACATGAAGAACACTACATTATTTCTACTTCATGAAGTGTTAAAACAGCAAAATAGAGTAATTAGTTTTTCACTATACACTAGTGCAAAAAAAATCAAATCTTAATCAGTGTCCAATTCAACTATGAGGAGTGTGATTACATCACTTTACCAGTGTTGAGCCCTTGACATTTTGGAAAGTGTAGTTTTAACTCATTTTATTGTGGACCCCATATGACATGGTAAAAGTGTTAATTCAACTTGTATATTGGTAATTTTAACACTCTTGAATTTGCTGTTATTTTGTGCTACTTATTTTGAATTCATCATTACCATTTATATTGTTGCTCTTTGTTATTATAATATATTGTGCTGTTTGAGCTACTGTGTCCAAATAATTTCCCTTGTGGACTAATACAGTTTGTCTGAGTCTAAGTCTATGAGCCCCAGTTTGCTGTTTATAACTAGTAAGTGACTGACAGGTCTAAATGAACAAGAACACATCTGGCTGGTTCTATTTCCAGGATGAATCTG